TGAGTAGCACATACGGGAACCTCGGACTACTATACCCACACTCACACACACACACACACACACACACACACACACACACAGGTTGCCGTCTAGAAGTCAAAATGAGGAGCCCGTGAGGTAATGACAGTGTGGTTTTCCAATTCTGGCGATCATTCATTCCCCAAAAGAAAGAATGCTATCTGTGAATAGGTGAAGTCAAGCGATTGATTAACAATGGGTACACGGATTGCTCGGTCTAAGGTGAATCCAACACTTCTTCGTCTGCTTCGTGAATAATGTCCTCGAGAACCGGTTCAAACGTGCGTTTCAGATAGAACGAGACCGGGCGTCTTCTACGCGCTTTGATGTTTGACTGAAGCATGAACGCAGCTGGATCGTGGCGCAACAAAGCATCGTAGGTGGTGGATTGAGACGCGTCCGCACTGTGCTGGGAGTTGGACGAGAAATCGAAATGAGTGATGGGGCTGTGTGGAGAGACAGAACTCAGGCCAGTCTCGCTCCAACTGAACCCGTTTCGGAGCTGATCGCTCTTGGATTTGGGCCTTCGCGAATCCCGACGATTGGGGGTCTTGATCGTGTTTGAATTACTGTCAACGAGGAGAGGAGGAAAAAAGGCTAACGATTCAAGGGGAAGGGGACATGAATCACGCATAAATCATAGAAAAGAATGATCGTAAAAGCACATTCATTACTTGTGACGGTGATCATTTAATGTGTCCCGACCCAGGCTCGAATCGCTGTTCCGGTTGACATAGCCGAAACTGTTCGCTCTGACGCACAGGGTAGAATTTTAATAAATTGTGCGCACGGCTACTTCATCTAAGAATGAACAGGTCCAAGTCACAGACTCCCAATACGGTAACCGACGAAACTTCAACAAGAGCGAAAGATATGGTTTGAAAATCCATCACGAGCGTTTTGATCTACGAATAAGTTGTTTTCGTAAACAAGCACGAGTTGTGACTTTTTGAATAAGTGTCAATGTGGCGATCCAGAAATACGTGACCGCATTCCAAGCACGACCAGGTACAGCTTAATGTCATCCAATCACAGTTCAGGAAGCACGGTCAATGGTAAACCGGGCGAACATTAGATCCGAGTTAGTACATGTGATGCGTCTGTGCAAAGGGTTACGTGGTTGGACGACGGTCCTTCAACCAGTGATATGGCCTATTACTTTCTACAAAACATGCTCTAATTCTATCAGTAAACATAAGCATTTGCTGCTACCAATTCCTCGTGTATTTCATTGGTGTCCGCAGTTCGGGTTGGAGCCGATCCAGTTCTGAACATTACAGTACGGGTTCTCGTATTCCGATATTCAATACTATTCTGGCTACCACAGTCAATCACCAGTAAGCAAATTAGACGGGCTATCCGAAAAATTTTACTGCACAATTGCACACACATGCTCTACGGGGTGTGAGCAAAGAAATGTAAATTTCGCTCACCATACCTTTTAGTGATGGACTGTTGAGATCGCCAATCAACGGAGCAGCTCATTCAACGGTCTGAATCTGAAGTATTATCGAACCTCTCAGTGTTTTTTAAGATTGGAATACAGCGGCGATTGATTGCTCGTACTACAGGGCTAATAGAGTGAGCAATTGCGCGAAGAATAGGATGGATCATGTTACCCAAGCTTTGCAGGACAGTGTGCGCTCAATCAGTTAAGCTAGAGTGAGATATCCATGTTACCTGCAAAAACCAGGGTTGATAGGGGTATCACGTCTGTTTTAGCTAAGCTTTTGAGCTAAGATAACAATTGGCTGATCGTGTCTTCCTTCTTTGCTGTCAGGTCTAATCACCCAGGTGAGTCTAATTGAAGATGACAACTAAACGAAAGTGAATTGGTCATTCTGTCCTGTCCGAATGTGAGCTTGTTAGCACACATCATCCGGACCCGGGCTGGAAGCCCAGATCCCGGACGTCTCGTTGGATATACCATACTGATAAGCTAAAAAAACCGAGTTTTCGAGTTGTTTGATTGTCCGGATGAACTGAGGACTGACCCACGGTACCCGTCTGCCCATAACCATAAGTTTTCTGGTGTAACCATTAGTAACTTGGTTGTTTGTGAGTTACGTACGGGACCCGTTTCGAGGCTCGTCAAGATTGGTCGCTGTCGACGCACTTCATATCTAAAATGAGTCCTTCCCGATAAACAACGCACTACTCGACCTTCGTCCCCTTCTCTCACTGCGCTTGCATCTGAACCCCGTCATCTGGATGTGTTTTCCAGTTCGTAGGCGCACTCCCCAGTTCACGGTGCCCTATCCTGAGGCCACTGTTACCTGGATTGTCCAAATCGGTCATTGTGTCGAGCGTAACCTTTCCACCGGACGGGTCAGCGTGTATCAAAAAACACACACAAGCTAAACTAGAATGTACGTTTTTTGGCGAATTCATTTTAAAATTTTTAAAATCTCGTAGATACGAACCACACTTGGCTAAGACTGACCTAACTTTGACGCGCACAATCCTCAGTTCCGTTCCAGTCAACCATACACCCATGGAAGCACTTTGGACTCGAGTTTCGCTCTCAGAAGAGCTCATCCCCAGCAGTGCATATCCACCGCCTCGGCTTATACCCATCGGGCATGGAAGGCGTGTGTGTGTGTTACCACCACTGCGCCAACCAGCTCATACTCGGGGGGGGGGGCCTGAACCGAATAGCCAATTCACGTTTTTTCCGGATGTTGTCTTCAGTGACGGTGAAATCCGTGAAAGATGGTGTAGTGATCCTAGCTTACGGGATGACGCAAACCTCGGGGCAACACGGTATAGTTTCCGGACAATTTTAATTAGAATCAAGCTTCCCAAATGACGCCAACAAAGTGCTTATGTGTTACAGCTTGTGGACGACGAACCATAGGCCGACTGTGCTGACCAATTAGAAGCCGTGCGGCCCAAACAGAAACTGTACGACGCAAAGAATACGAGCATGGAAGTGATAGATGTCTGGGTAACCAATGAACTTCTTCTTTACATGCTATTTAACCCCCATGATTTCTTCCAATGAAGGAACTGCTAATTCTGTGACCTTTTCTTTGCGTCTCGGTTACGTGAGATACAAGCGTGCAAGCGCTAGTGCGATTCAGTGCTTCTGAAGCGTCCGTGATTCCTAATACGTGAGTACTTCAACTACTACAGATGGTCAGTTCGAATATTCATCAATTATCCCACCCAACTGCGCACAAGTAAATTTAGGTTAAAGGCAAATCATTCGTGATTATCTATCAAATCTAGAGCACAATGGTGACATTTCTTCAGACCGAATGATCGGACTGGCGGACCAACGACCGACGCTCCATTTCCAAGGAGAATTCATCGTATATATAGCAAACGAAGCGTGAACTGACGGAAGATAGGAAGCATTATTGTTGGACAGCTATTTCGACTAGGTTGGGTAGTCTCATCAGTGCCGTGCGCGAGTCCGCCGACCCGCGACTGGGGATCGCGAACCCGGGACCTCATGGGCAGCACACAAGCATGCTACCCACTCGGTCACCCCTGGGTAGACCGTTTATAATTTTCCATTCACACGATATAGCACAAACAGGTCGAAACAACTGTCCAGGAGGGCTTCCTAGCTTTCGGAATACGCTTCATTTTTTTATATACAAGACGAATTCCCTCTATGAAATTGAACCAAATCCTCCATTACTCAGATGCTTAACTTGTCAAAGAACAAAATCCATGCGCATAAATTGGCTGCCCATATAGCTGTGATTGTGTACATGCTTGAGAATGAATCCACCCGAAAACTTGTTTTCACCCACCGATACAAACAACGAGCCCAATCCGTAGTTTGAAAACTAATTCGTTGGTTGATCCGTAATAACTCGTTAGACAGCTATTTTCCGTTAGTGAATGATTTCTACAACTCACAAAGGTATACATACACACACTGAAAGTGGATTCGTTTTCATCTTTTTCAATATTTAAAATTAATTTTGTCTATTGTGTTGAACTGACCATCCTTCTCAGATTTCACCTCCATGCACATTCCTCAGCCCTTCCAGTCAACCGTACAGGCTAGCGGAAGCATTAGACTTAAATATCAACTATCCCACAACACTACTCACAAGTAGTTATAAGTTAAATGCGAATTATCAATTCAGCCTAGTAGGTTTGTGGCCAATTAGCCCGTAACCTGCATAGAAGACCCGACTTCGTGGGAGGCTTTGGTTGGAGTTGACAACAGTGTCCGGCCACAAATGAGCTGACTGACTATCTCTGAAAACAACAGCTAAAGATAAGATCCGATAGGCGAAAAAAGCCTGGTTTTCGATAAATTCATCAACTGGCCATTTACAATTAAATATAGGTAGAGCATTTAATATTGTTTGATTCTGCACGAGGTAGATCCTATTACCCTATGCATAAAACGATGCTACGCCCGTCAACAATTTAACCGAGCTTCTCCGTTGGTTACGACGTTCTTTCAGTTACCACGCTCGCTTCGGTTGGTCGCTTGGTGACTAGGCATGATAGAGATAATGTGCCTGGACGAAACGCTTCTGATCGCATAGTGAGGAGGGGGGGCTCAAGATGTTTGATCGCAGTAGCTTCAGTCGTGCACAGAAGGATAAAGTGTGTGGATTTAGATGAAAACAATTGGATGAGCAAACATGAATTGATAATTCTGTGCAGCCCCGAGTATGAGCTGGTTGGCACAGTAGTAATAACAAATACATATATACACACACACACACACACACAGGTCTTTCAGGCCCGATGCGTCCGGAGTTCAAATCCCAGACGGTGGGACGATGGATAAGCAATAATGATGAGCTCAAATTAGAGAGACACTCGAGTTGGTAGTGCTTCCCTGAGGAATCTGCTCGAAAGCTAAGTCCGAGAAGGATGGTCAGTTCAAATCAACTAATCAATATCATCTATCACTACTCACAAGTAATAGTGAGTTAAACACAAATTGTCAATATTTGAGCAAAATATTTTGGGAAAACAAAACATGCACTTCGGTAGGCTTACGATCGGGTGGACTGTGTGCGGTGCACCAACAGGTTAATCTGAGCAATCTGTGCCGGATTGCAGTGTCCTGAATTTAAATTGTTCAACGCATCGACCAGATTGGCCGATCGTGTTTGTAGTCGGCGAATCTCTTTGCACAACGCACCGAACAAGGAATAGACCAGCGGGGATTGGTCCATTTTCGTCATGGAAGAAACTGGGAAGTTAGCGGTGGCGGAGGAGGAGGATAAAGCAGGGGATAGATTAGAAGGAGTTCTGTTATAGTACAAGGAAAGCTGGAAATAAAGTAGAAAATACTGAAATGGTAGTATTTTTCTCCTTGAAGACGTCCGAAAAGACGCAACAGTGCCTTGTCACGTGATCGATGGTTTGCAATTTATATGGACGGGGATGCAACAACAACAAAAACCACAACAGACAAGCCGAACATCACTTGTCTCGAAACCACCACACTAATCCGACAGGCAATAATTACTAAGGGCGATAGACAGCAAAGTTTAGGCGTCAAACAAAGAATTATAATTGACTAAATGAGCATTAACCAATCACCGATCACGTTTTGCCGGACACAGAAATCCAGTATGAACCGAATGGTTTTTGATTGATCCACGCTTTTGACCTT